TTTAGGGTTGAGGGTTTAGGGTTAGAATCATAAGCATCTTAAGTATGTAGAGTCATAATATCAGGAGCACTAGTTGGAGTAACAGGAGTGGTAGCTGTTTTTATAGCCGAAGTACAAGCCTCTCCACCCTCCCCAATCCTTGATGATGATAGTGGGGACCCTGACCCCTAAACCCTAAACCCTGATAATGGGGACAATGGCCACTCCTGGACCCGAATCCCGAAGCCACACATCCTGAAACCCAACACCCCAAGCCCGAAAAATCCCTAGGCGCTGAGCCCTTGGCCCTGAACGCTCCAATACAAACCCTCAAACCCTAAGCTCCTTGCACCAAACCTTAACACCCTTAGCCCAGACCTTCCTCCCCAAATCCTGAAGCCAAACCCAGACACAACCCCGTAGGCACCCATAGAATCACATAAACCTTCGTCTCGTTCCTCTGATCTTCAAAACCTTAAGCCCAAGCCCTAAGCCCCAAAACCCCGAAACCAAGCCCTCAGCATCAAAACCCTAAGCCCAACAACCCACGCACTCCAAACCCTAAATGCCTGAGCCGTTAGACCCTAAACCCCAAACCATAAACCCCCAGACATTGAGCCCACACCCTAAACCCCAACCCCCAAGCCACCTAAAAACCCTGACAGCTGAACCTACTAAACGCCCCAACCCCTAAAACCCTAAACCCTAAACCCTAAACCCTAAACCCTAAACCCGAACCCCTAAACCCCAAACCCTTAAGCATCAGATGGATCTGGAAACCTTAAGGAGCCCCTACGGATCCCGAGGAGCTTTAAGGATCCAGACGGAATCGGTTTAGGGTTTAGGGTTTAGGGTTTAGGGTTTAGGGTTTAGGGTTTAGGGTTTAGGGTTTAGGGAACTTTAAGGATCCTTGAAGAACCTGAAACCCGTAAGACAGCCCACTGAAAGAGTTCTGCCGGGAGGTCGCCGAGCTAACGACCCGATTGGCAGCCGCCAAGGCGCCAACAACCCGGGGTTGCTGGACATCGTTGCTTTAGGGTTTAGGGCTTTGGTTTAGGGTTAAGGGGTTTGGGGGGGCTTAGGGGTATTGGGGCTCTGAAGGTTTTGGGGTTTAGGGTTCAGGGTTTAGGGTTTAAGGCGGTGGGGTTCCTTTAAAAGGATCAATAATGATAAGGGTTACTATATATATAGGGCTTCCGGCTTGGGCTTTGGGTTTCTGTGGGTTTAGGGTTTGGAGGCTTCGGGCCTATGGTCTGGGGCATTGGCTCTAGGTGGGGTGTGGGTTTAGGTTAAGGTTTTCGGACTTTGTCCGTTTGGAGTTCGGATGTTTCGAGAGGGCTTGCGAGTTCCACAGCTTGGAACTGGTGGTTCGGCTGCAGGGTTATCTTGGCGACTTCAATGCGTAGGGGTTGAGGGCGGGAGGAATGTTGGGGTGTGTAAGGCCGTGTAGTGCAGGTTTGCATCTTCAATTCCCCACAGAGTAGCCCAGGCTAGAAAAGGTCTGAGCACAAACTTCCGGATCCAGTGGAACCGCACTTGACCTCTCAACCCCGAAGCCCAATGTACTGAAACTCCTGCAGCAGCAGTAGTCTGACCCGGAATGGCGCGACTGCCGCTGCGACTGCGACTGTTATTGGTAACGCTGCGATTACAACGGCTGGTAGTCTTGCTGCCATCGCGCAAAAAGCATGTCCTTCAACACCACCGCCGTCGCCATGCTCGAGAAATAGTGCCGTGTGTGTCTTGAGTAAGATTGTCAACAGAGTTTGCAGTCATGACAACGGCAGCAGCGCGACAGCCATCAGTGCCAACATCATCATCACCATCACATCATCGTCGTTGTCATCATCACCACCATCATCATCTCACCACTCTCATCAACCTCACCGCCCTCACCGCTCGCACCACCCTCACCATCAAGACCATCAAGATCATCACGTCAAAACTTTATGAACCGAACAATCGGAATGGAGTGCTATTGTTACATGGGCAGCTCTCTAGGCCCGGTTTGGGATTCTGACAACTTTTCGTCACCCTTATCATCCGGGTAGTTCCCTAAATTAGGGTCCCTTTTCGGGTCTTTTTATGAGGGTTCCATACTACTTGGGGGATCTAAACAGGGACCCTAATTTAGATAACTACCCATATAGCACCCTTATAGAAACCCTATAGAAACCCTGGTGGATCCCTTTAAGGAACCCTAAAAGGGATCCCTAATTTAGAGAACTACCCTAAACCCTAAACTACCCAAAAGGAGAGAACCGGCTAAACCCTATACCCTAAACCCTAAACCCTAACAAGCTCGCCAGGCGGACAACGATGAGCTCCGTTCCGAGGTGGAGGAACTGGCGGAGCAGGCGCGGGCATCGATAGAAGATGTGGAGCGATTTAGGGTTTGGGTTTAGGGTTTAGGGTTTAGGGTTTAGGGTTTAGGGTTTAGGGTTTAGGGTTTAGGGTTTAGGGTTTAGCGATAAGAATCCGGAGTTTAGGGCTCAGGGTTTAGAATTTAGGGTTTGGGGTATCAGGTTTAGATTTTAGGGTTTCGGGTTTAGGGTTTAGGGCTTCGGGTTCAGAATTTAGGGTTTGGGGCTTAGGGGGGTTGGCACTACTGTTTTTTAAGGTTGACGTGATCTTATCTTGTGTCTTGAGTTCACAGGTAGCTCCGACATAATTCGCGCAACTCGAAGCCCTCTGCCTTAGATCTAGATCCTGAAGCTGACATCCTCCACCCTTAAGCCCGAGACCCTAAACTCCAAGTGCTAAATCCCTAAAGCCTGAAACCCAACCTCAACCCTAGAAACCTAAACTCCCTCGACCTGCAAACTCTAATATAGGGGCCTTAATAATTGGTTTGGGGGTATAATATACTAGAATTATAATAAGGAACCCCCAAAACTCTATTATGATTATTAGGGTCCCTACACCCTAAACCCGTATAGTAGCCACTATAGAACCAACCCTCTAAGGAACCCGTTAAAGGAACCACCCAAAACCCAAAACCCTAAACCTTAAACCCTAAACCCTAAACCCTAAACCCTAAACCCTAAACCCTAAAACCCTAAAATCCTAAAATCCTAAAGGAGCCCCCAAAAAACCCTGCAGTAACCACTGATGTCAGGTGCGGACTCTGAAGGAGGCCAACGAGTCGATCAAGGCGGGCTCGGGCTTTTGGCTTTCGGGGAGGGGCCTTGGGTTTTCAGAGGTTTTTAGGGGGTTTAGGGGTTAGGGGTTAGGGCTTAAAGGGCCTTGGGTTTTCAGGGGTTTTCTGGGGTTTTTAGGGGGTTTAGGGGTTTAGGGTTTAGGGCTTAGAGGGTTTAGGGTTTAGGGGTTTGGGTTTACGGGTTTAGGGGTTTGGGCTTAAAGGGGTTTGGGCTTAGAGGGTTGAGGGTTAAGGGGTTAGGGTTTAGGGGTTTAGGGGTTGGGGGTTAGGGCTTAAAGGGTTTAGGGTTTAGGGGTTAGGCCTTAGGGGTTTAGGATTTAGGGGTTAGGGCTTAAAGGGTTTAGGGTTTAGGCCTTAGGGGTTTAGGGTTTAGGGGTTTAGGGGTTTAGGGCTTAGGGTTTCACGGATCTAGGTTCGGGGAGAAGGGCTTGAGAGTTGGGCTTTGGGGTGGGTTAGGTTTGGGGGCGTTTTGTAGGTTTGGGGTTTGAGGGGTTTGGGTTTGGGGGTTTAGGGTTCCGGGGTCAAGGGTTCGTGGTTCAAGACTGCAGTTGCTTATACTGTTTGCTGATGTTACCTGGCGGGCACTGTGAGGCCAAGAACTCGGAGCAGTGGGCTGCTCAAAAGAAGGCGGAGGACGACAGAGACAAGGCAAAGACAGCCGAATGCTTTGGGGCTTAGGGCTTAGTGCTTAGCGAGACCCTAAACCCTAAACCCTAAACCCTAAACCCTAAACCCTAAACCCTAAACCCTAAACCCTAAACCCTAAACCCTAAACCCTAAACCCTAAACCCTAAGGGTTTCGGCTGGGGCTCTGGGGTCTGGGAATCGTCGGGTTGGATTTTTTCGGGGAGTTAGCGCAAACTTCAGTGGACCCTAAACAGTTTAGGGTTTAGGGTTTAGGGTTTAGGTTTTAGGGCCGACAAAAACTGCAAATCCTGCACCTAGACCCAGACCCTCTACCCCCACACGCCTAAACCCTGTATCCAGCCATCCATGAGCCCTATCGTCCGAATCATTGAAGAATGTTGTTGTACGTTTTGTGGTTCAGCTATGCGCAGAGAGAGAGAGAGAGAGAGACACATACGTACATCTAGTACATTCAATGCCTCTAAATACCGACACAGGAACCCCATTGAGGCCCGAAGGATATCTTCAACCTTAAACCCTAAACCCTAAACCGCAAACCGAAGCCCTGAAACACCACACAGAGTTCAAAGCAAATTTCAAATCCTCAATATACTACTCATAAAAGTTGTTCCGCAAGGAAGCGTTGAAGCATGGGGCCCAACTCTTTCGATGTTTTGGTGTTTAGTTGGAAAGCTGCGAACTCGAGCGTTGAGCTTTGGGTTTAGGTCTCAAGGTTTATAGGGTTTACGGTTCAGGTTTGGGCGGTCGGGTTGTTGAAGGTGCACTTCTCGGGCTTGGCACTTCTGTCGTTCTGGTAATGTTGCGTGCCCTGACCGGGACATTTCCTACGCTCATCGGCACGTTCGCGGACCTACAGCTAACGAGCCTATATGGGTAGTTCTCTAAAGTAGGGTCCCTGTTATGGTACCTTTTTATAAGGGTGCCGCTGTCTTTTGGGTTAAACGCTAAAAGGAGACCCCCTACTTAAGAGAACTGCCGATGTACCGACCGAGGAGTCAAGAGGTTTTAGGTTGCAGCCTTTTTTAGGCCCCTACATTAGGGAGATCCCCTTAAAGGGGGACCCTTCTGAACCCTACTTGTGGCTCTGTTAAACGGGACCTTATTGAGAGGGTCTATGTCCCCCAGGGTCCCCATAATCCTGGTTTAGGGTTTAGGGTTTAGGGTTTAGGTCCTAACTCCCATTTTTGTTCCTCCCGACTCAGGCTGTTCTGGAGCTGCAAAGCGCCAAGGACAGGGGGGCCCCGATACGAATCCACGCCCTATCGCTGAAGTTCGTGAACTACGGCTTAGAACTCCAAGCCTAAACCCTAAACCCCTAAACCCGAAACCCTAAACCCTAAACCCTGAACCCTTAGACTACGACTTTCATGTCCAAGCTTCACCAATTCGAAGGGCAGGACACTTTGGGGTCAGCAACAACAAAGCCTCAAACCCCTCCCAAGCCCGAAGTCGTCGAAGCGCAGCACAGCTAAAAGCCACACCATTCAGTCATTCAGTGTATCAGGGCTGCCGACTGGATGGGTTTTTGAGTTGACGGTTTTTGCGGTTTAGGGTTTCGGAGTTTTGGGTTTAGGTTTAGGGTCAGTCAGTGTATCCGGGCAGGAAGGGCTTTTACAACAATTCGACGTTCTGAACTACAGCCACGCCTAGGGTTTAGGATATCATATGGGGGATCCCAGTGTTTCGAGAAAGGCTTGCTCCCTATGTTGAAGCAACTGCCGACTCTCGCCCTCCCGTCCTAAACTCTCCATCACAAGGCCTATCCCAAACCATCAGAACTCTGCGATTCCAATCTTACGAAGGACGAGGCAGCGGCAGCGGACATCAAGGCAGAGCATCAGGCTCCTGGTTGCAGCCAGTCGACTTGCCAAGGAAGCCAGCCTCAAACTTTCAGGCTGCACCTCTAAACCCTGTGTCTTGCGACATCATGTTGTGGAAATCCTGCCCCGAGTCATGTGCTTTTCAACATGCACCGGCAGTGACCTTGGATTGCTGGAAATTACCCGGATGCCCTCAAAAATACAGCCACCAGGAGAAACAGACTGCAATAACTGAGCCGAGGGCTTGCTTTGGCGCCTGGTCAAACCTGGGTCTTTGTTGGATACAATTTTACATTGATGTTTTAATACAACCCAATAAGGATTTAAAAGCGATAATTTTTCATATAGCCCCAACAAGGAACCAGAAACCATCACGAGAAGGAATCCGGACTGCCGAGACAGAGTACAGCACTTACCTGCCATGGGTCGTGATCTGGAGCTGCAAACCCCGCAGCCCAAGCCAGCTTCCCCCCAATCCCAAGCTGCGCTACTTTGTCAGCGAAGCCTTGCAAGCCCCACACCCTAAGAGCGAGGCCCTAAATTATGAACCTTCTATTCCGCAACGCCAACCCCAAACCCCGGACCTCTGGACCCTTAACCCGAAAACCTAAACTCTAAACGCTGAAACCCTGAAGCCCGAAACCCTAAACTCTAAACCCTGAACCGCTAAACCCCTCAACCCCTAAACCCCCTAAACCCCCAAACCCCCCCGAAACCCCCTAAACCCCTAAAAACCCCACATTTTCCCGCGGTTTTTTCAGGTCAAGCTCGCCAAGGAGGAGCTCTCGGCGATGAAGTCGGAGCTGAAAGAGCTCAAGGCAGGCTCCTAGGGCCATCTGTTTTCTAGAGTTCCCAAAGGTATGCATGTGTATAAAATAGTACAAACATATGTATATATATATATATGTATAGATATAAATACACATAACATTCATATTCATACTCAGATTCGTGTTCATACTGGTAATATCGGTATTGATATTGATATTTATGTTCCAATTCCAACTCATCTACACCTTCGTCTACATCTTCATCTTCATCTTCAGATTCATCTTCATATATATATATATATACGCATACACATGTATATCTCGATAGACAGACAGACAGATAGATAGATGTATACAGGGGTTTAAAGGTTACGAACGGGTGTTATGAACGGGTGTACAAGGGGGCTTCGAAGGGGTGTATAAAGGGTACAAAGGATCTCGGCTGTGGGTTCCCGCATCTCTTTTGTTAGGTATGGGTTGTGTAGATTCTCGGGGATAGTTTCGAGAGTTTGGGCTTTAGGCTTTAGGGAGGTATCTAAAAGGCTCCCCGAAGACACCGACACCGCAACGAAAAAGCTTAAGGGTTTAGGGTTTAGGGTTTGAAACACACCATCCCGACGTCAAAGCATGAAGAGCGCCGGCGAAGCTCCGTGAGGCTCAGCTCGCCGGGAAGGCGCCTTGAGTTGTTATTGGTTTAGGGTTTAGGGTTTAGGGTCGAGGGCAGGAAAGTCTTCCGACTTCAGGTTTGAGGGTAGGGCTTAGCTTAGGACGCTCAGGACTTGAGGGGTTGAGGGCGGTGTTTGGGGCTTGGCGGGTTTAAGGGTTGGGGTTTAGGGTGAGAGGAGTTTGGAGGGTCATTCCATTCCTTCAGCTTGAGCTCCGCAAGCTACAACCCGAAGCTTACACGAAAGTCCGAACCTCTGATCTACGATTGAGGGTTTAAGGCTTACGGCAGTTTAGGGTTTAGGGTGTAGGGTTTAGGGTTGACTATTGTATGATAGTCAAAACTAGGATGGGCCTGCAAGACTACAATGCAATAGGTCTAATTGCAAACCACTCAGACCTTCGAAGCAGAAGCCACGGTTTAGGGTTTAGGGTTTAGGGTTTAGCCGGAAACCACTGAAGCATCCTTGCCCAGACAGGAAAAAAGCTGAGACAACTCCGCACAGGCCCGTTCATGGACAGACGCATCGGCAGTTCTCTAAATTAGGGTCCCCTTGTGGGCCCCCCAATGTAGTGCGGCACCCTTGTAAAAAGGATCCTAAAAGAGACACCAATTAAGAGAACTACCCACATGCATTAACTGCTGGAGAGATCTGTGATTGGAATTACGGATGTAGTCACGAGCACACGCAGATGCATACAGATAAACATAAGACTCATAGACATGCAAGTAGCGCACGAAGGGAGCTGCTCAAATTTTGTAGGCGACCGTGATGACTGGAATTACACATGCACGGGCAGAGGCTAGATTTGCAGACGTACATGCATGTGTAGACAAGCTCAAGGCAGAAGCAAATGCCGGAATGTACCGATTATGGGTTCGTACAGCAAAACGGTTTCTACTTCAAAAGCCCATCAGTATTCTCCTGTCTCTTGCAATGTCTACATGACAGGAGTCCTAGTTGTATCCCAAAATCTGGCCCCCAGCCGATATTCCCCAGTACGGACTTTCGGATTCAATGCTCTCAGTTCGGCTTGCGATGTTTCTGATCTTTCCGGCATCTGTTGCTTTCCCTAAACGCTGAACTTGGCAGAGGGTCGACGTCAGCTGGGGTCTAAATCTCACGAATTGGTACTGTATATTCTGTCTCATCCCAGGGCCGTACAAGCAGCATCCAAATCCCTTCCGAAGTATGTTGCTTTCCATGTTGAATATTCCCAAGCATAAAAACTACGGTGAATAGGATTTCCTGAGCCCTTAACCGTAACCCTAAGCCCATTAGTAGAGCCATAAACCCAAAACCCTGCAGGCCTCCAAGATTCCCAGTTCTTCAAACTTTAAAAGGCCCTCAGCCCTAAACCCGATGCCCTACCTGAACCCCAAATAACCTACTTTTTAAAGGCCTTATATAAGGAAATCATATTAAGGAGCCCTAAAAAGGTAGGTTCTTTAGGGTCCAGGTAGGTCCTAAGCCCTAAGCCCGAAACCGGTAAAACCCAGGAGATCCATGGGTGTGAAATCAACCGTTCCGTTTCTTTGCCCCGAGGCCACGGTCTCAACTTCCTAGGCCCTTGAAAGACCCTCTGGGCTGGCTAAGGTGCTTCAAGCTTTAAGGGTTTAGGGTGTAGGGGTTCGGGTTTAGGGTTTAGGATGTTTGGGTTTAGGGTGTAGGAGTTCGGGTTTAGGGTTTAGGGTGTTTGGGTTTAGGGTCCAGAGCAGGCGACCAGGGTTTAATTACATGGTTCATGCGCATTCGGATGCCACTAACCGTGAACAGCCTCGCCATTCAGCGCAATCTGCCGCAGGCTCCAGCCGCCCTCGCGCTTGAAGCACGAGAAAGCGCGGTGCTCCTTTTGGTCATGTAGCCGGTAGCCCGCCTTTCGTTTCAAAGCTGGGGTGTCACGCTTCTGGAGTTACATTATTGCAAGAACGCCATGGGCCAACCCAGGTCCTTAAACTTTTGTTGGTCAGCGAAGACTCGCGTGCTCCCCGATACTTTCTCAAGAAGATGACCGGCCCGCAGAGAGTTTCGGCACAGGGGTCCAAGGCCATAGCGCATGGCTCAGAGCCTGCGGAACTCGGTGTACGGCACGCTGAGCCCTAAAGTTCTGGTTTCGTTACTTAATGCTTTGCCTGGTACCTGGAACCAGGGTTTCAAGGGAACAAGGCCTATTTCATACGGTCGTGCAGCAAGTCGAATTTGTCTTGCGTGGGTCTTGGGAGCTGTCTGCCGGTGTCCGTGTGGTGCGGCAGACCAGTTTTCAAGCCCAGGGTCTTTCTCCTAGTAGCATACATCTCCTGGATTTTATATTCATTTAGAAGCGTGACAGAACTCCGCGTTTCAGCTGCTACTACGGCCTGGAGTTCATCACCAAACCCTCGACCCTACATCCCAAAACCCTGAGCCCTACACCTCAGAGCTTGCACCTCAGTGTTTAGAGTTCCCTAAACCCTTAAACCCTATACCCCTAGACCCTAAACCCAAACCCTTAAACCCTACAGCCTCAGCCCCAAAGCTAGGACTCCATGTTTGGGAGCAGCAGGAAGGTGGCCGTGTAGGATGCCCTCATCCACCGTAGCTTTGGGTTTAGGGTTTAGGCTTGTTTCTCCATGTGGGGATTTGAACTTCAAGCCCGAAGCCTTCTAAGAACCCTAAACCCTAAACCCTAAACCCTAAACCCTAAACCGTGAAGTCCTTCGGACTTAAAATAGGGTTTTAGAGGCCTTAGAGGCCAGGCCGTAAGAAATTAGAATGCAGTTTTGGGCTCCGTTGTAGATTCGCTATAAAAAGGAACCCTACGGACCCCTCGGTGCTGCGGGCTGGTCATAGACACCGCCGTCTTAGTGATTTTAAGCTCCGACTCGTCGAACTGCGTCATCGGAGGCAAATGGCTCGGAGCGAGGTGCTTGGGGTTCAGGGTTTACGGTTTAGGGTCCGGTCGGACATTCGTCAGTCAGTGTGTTTAGGGTTTAGGGTTTAGGGTTTAGGGTTTGGGGTTTAGGGTCTAGGATTTAGGATGTAGGGTTTAGGGTCTATAGGGTCTACGGTTTAGGGTTTAGGGTCTAGGGTTCAGGGCTTGGGGTGTCGGAGTGGTTCCTCCTACGAAACGTTAAGGGCGAAAGGAACCCGACCATGAACTGTCAAGTCTTTAAGGCCGAGATTTATACCCCATGTACAACCCTATAAACCCTAAACCCTAAACCCGAAACCATATAGAAACCCCATGTACAACCCTAAAGCCTAAACCCCAATGGAACCCTTGCAGCTCGCTTTGAACTCCCTAACAGCCAAACCGCACGTGAAACCTTGTGGTCCTGAACACCAAGCCGGCGTTCGGAGGTACTTCGCAGGTAGGGTTTTTGGGTTTAGGATTTAGGGTTTATTATGGCGTTAGATGAGTCTGCAGTACTCGTGAAACCCACCTTCACCCATAAAATATTACGTAATCTGACATCCGCACTGCCAGGTAGCATAGACGCTCCTTTGATAACAGTAGTCGGGGATCTTGCCGCCAGCCATGGGAAAGCGCCGCTGCCGCCCGCCCTGGGCCAAAGAGAGCAGCAGGTATCTACGCGTGGGCATGGGGGATGAGGTTTCAACCCTAAACCCTAAGCCCTA